GTAACGCTCATGTTACTGCACAAGTAAATAATGCAGAAAATTTAAATGAAGTTTTAAGTTTATTTATTGGAGAAGATTTTTTTGAACTTTTGCAAGCTGAAACTAACCGTTATCATGCGCAAAATGTAGATAAGTTTAAAAAGCAGAAAAATACACGAAAATGGGAAGATGTATCAAAGTCCGAGATTAAAAAAATGCTAGGTTTAATCCTTTTAATGGGAAAGGTGCAGAAGGATACCAGAGATGAGTATTGGTCTACTGACTCGACAATAGAAACACCAATTTTTTCCAAGGTAATGAGCCGCAATAGATTTAGGCAAATATCATCATCTTTACATTTCACAAACAATGACAATATTACAAATAATTCAGACAGACTATTTAAAATTTTACCAATTATAAATTATTTTAAACCAAAATTTTTAAACATTTATAAACCTGAACAACAACTTTCCCTTGATGAAAGTATTATACCTTGGAGAGGTAGATTATGTTTTAAAGTTTACAATTCCTCGAAAATTATCAAATACGGTATTCTGGTTCGAATGGTTTGCGAGGCAACTTCTGGTTATATATGCAATTTAGAAATATATTGCGCAAAAGGATTAAAACTAAGAGATACCATCCTGAATCTTATGACACCATATTTCGATTTGTGGCACCATTTGTATATGGATAATTATTATAATAGTGTGGAAAATAGCCAAATTTTATTGAAACATAAAATTAGAATATGTGGCACTATTCGTATAAATAGAGATGTACCAGTATGTTTAAAAACTGTACAACTAAAAAAAGGAAAGACCGTTTATCGTAGAAAAAAAGATGTTTTGGTACAAATCTGGAGATCCAAAAATGATGTGCGAATAATATCAACAATCCATTCCGCAGAAATGAAAGAAAGTAGAAATATTGATAGGACTACAAAAGAAAAAATTATAAAACCCGTCGGGATAATTGATTATAATAAATATATGAAAGGAGTAGATCGGGTCGATCAGTACATTTCGTGCTTCAGAATCGCAAGAAAAACTAAAAAATGGACAAACAGGGTATTCTTCTATTTGTTAAATTGTGCCATTTTTAATGCGTATCGTGTATATAACAATTTAAACACAAAGAAGATGCGATACAAGAAGTTTTTACATGCGATTGCACGTATGTGGATAACCGATGATATTCAAGATGTAGACGACGATGAAGAAAATGAAGAAAACCCTGGACCATCCGAATTGCGCACAAGACGCGCACCAAAATTAGATCCGCCAACAAGATTATCACAAGACATGAAACAACATATATTGGAAAAAATAATAGGCACTGGAAAAATACGCCATCCTCAAAGACGATGCCGTGTGTGCGCTAAACATAATAAACGGAGTACAACGATTTACATATGCAAACACTGCAACGTTCCACTTCACAGGGGTAAATGTTTCACAAAATACCATACACTTAAACATTATTAGTATACATATATGTTATATATACATGTATTACATATGTATTTTGTTCGTAATAAAAATTCAAACAACAGAATTTTTATGTAAATGCATTGAAATAAAATTTATTTTGAAATAAACTTTGTGCTTTTGAATAAAAAAAAGCTTTTTTGAATGGAGCAGTATCTGTCAAAAAATGTAGGCTACAGGCATAAATTTGCGCGCAAACAAGCCGGACCGTAATGTGTTAATCTAGCAATTCTTACCCATTTAGAAAGACAAGCAGAATGATTATTTCTTGTCAGAGGAATAAAGGAAAATGACAGACCTTTGTTATGGAAGGCATTTGTTTACTAATGATTCGGGTGTTCTACTATGTAAAAAACGTTTCAATCTCTAGCCCAAAGGCGTCGTCGTCATACATAATTATATCAAAAAATCAGTCTTAAAGCACCCTTACCTAATGTTATTCTAGAAAAAGGCTAACTAACCTAATGATTCTGCAGTTGTAGTACTGAGGCCATTGATTTGTGGTGGCTGTTGTGCTTAAAACAAAAGAGATACTCTCTTTTCTCTGAAACCTCAATAAATCTTCACTCACAGACAGATTGTAGAGTTGCCTTAAAAGTGAATACATGTCCATTATCATCCGTGAATGTGAATAAAATATGGGTGCCTATGTTTGAACTGAACCGTTGTTGACACTTATCTTTCAGCTGTTTTTGACATGATTCTGAGGCACACAGTGGCGAATAGGCCAGATGAAATGGGATGACAAACGATGACAAAAATGTCATATTACCGACAACAATTTTTGCTTGGTTTGATTGAAAATTGTATGCATAAGAAATCTAAAGAGACAAATTAAGACGTGTTTCATGAGAATGTGAAGAAAAGTCAAAACATCAAAAAATTTAACATCTCTTTTTTATGTTTTCATTCGATTCTTCATTCAATTTTAGGGATACGAAAAAGTCATATCCAAAAATGGCTGAGTTATAAAAGTTTTGCGAGAAGTACTCAAA